GAATCCAAGCCTTTTTGGATACAATTCAATATGAAGACTTAAGGTATCAATATCTATGCATTAAATAACATTGCTTCACCATTCATAAGGCCAAAGCTATAGGTGCTACAAGAAGAAACAGACCGGAAAATGCTAGCAATAGGTGTCTAATTTCCTTCTCTGTCCATGACAGATAAGTGAGGATACAGAAGACCCAACAACGTCTTTAATGGGGTAGATGTAATTGCTTTACACCAAACTCTGAATCCTGAGAACAGTCACACCTTCTTTTCAAGTCCCCATAAAAAAATACACAAAACTCACAAAAATTACCATAGATTCTATATCACAAAACTTCAGTAAGTTCCAAAAGTAGACAAAATTCTCTGATCATAATGCAAAACAACTTAGAAATAATGAAACACAAAAGCACCCATTACTTGAGTGGATGGATGGGACTCAAATGACTCTTATTAAAGAAGAAACCAAAACCAAAATTATAAAATATCTAGGAAGTAATGACAATGAAAATACTACATGTTAGAACCTATAGGATGATACAGTTAAAGCAGTGCTCAGAGACTTCATAGTCTTAATTTAATTTTTCTTTTTTAAAAATAAGTATAGGGCCGGCCCGGTGGCGCACTCGGTAGAGTGCGGCGCTTGGGAGCACGGCGGCACTCCCGCCGAGGGTTCCAATCCCATATAGAGACCGGTCCGGAGGGTAGTGATCCCGTTGCCGGTCGTGGTACGGGCGCGACACCGAGGGTTGCGATCCCGTTACCGGTCACGAAAAAAGACAAAAAGGAAAAAATAAATAAAATAAAAAAATAAGTATAAAGAGTTAAATCTCCAACTCAAGAAATCAAAACAAAAGTTTTTAAGAAAGATAAAAGCATAAATTAATTAGAAATCATAATATGATAATTCTAATAAATCCTAAAGAGGGTCTTTGGGGAAGGGGATAGATAATATCATTAGTTAACTAACCTAATGAAGAAAAATGGGAAAAAGAACACAAAAAAGAAATCATACAATTAAGAAATAAGGGCAAAGTCACCACTTAAAAGAACCATAAAAATTTTGTTCAACCTCTTGCAAATAAATTTGAAAACCAGGATAAAATGGATAGTTTTCTAAAGCAACATATTTTACCAAACTCATTCAAGAAGTGGAACAATTATGGGCCGGCCCGTGGCTCACTCGGGAGAGTGCGGTGCTGATGGCACCAAGGCCCCGGGTTCGGATCCCATATAGGGATGGCCGGTTCGCTCACTGGCTGAGTGTGGTGCTGACAACACCATGTCAAGGGTTAAGATCCCCTTACCGGTCATCTTTAAATAAAAAAAAAAAAAGAAGTGGAACAATTAAAACAGACCAATTATTACAGAAGAAATAGAAAACAATATCAAAGAGCTACCTCCCACCCCAAATAAATGCACTAGCCTAGACGGTTTCATGGGGTAATCAACCAACCTTTAAAGAATAGATAATTCCATTTCTATTTAAACTGTTCCAAAGCACAGAGAAAGCAGGAAGGTCTCCATTTCCTTTATGAAGTGAATGTAACACTGATAGCAAAACCCAACAAAAATCATTCCCCCAAAAAGAAAGCTAAAGAACAATCTCTGATGAAATTGAGGCAAAATCCTAAATAAAATAACAAATCCAATCCAGCAGTATATTATGCAAAAATATTCACTGTGACCATATGGGGTTCAATCTGGAATGCAAGGATAGTTCAATATTAAGAACTATGTTAGTATCATTATTCATCTTGATCGAAGGGGGAAAAAACCCATATGATCATCTTCATAAACACTGAAAAGTCATTTGGCAAAGTTCATCTTCCATTCTAGATTTTAAAAATCCTTAATAAAACAGGAATAGATAGAGACTTAATTAACCTGATGAAATATCTACCCCAAAGCCAGCATTTTCGTAATGGGGAAATTTAGAAGCTACAAAGCAAGATTGTCTGTTATCACCACTATTATTTTTCATTGTTCCAGGGATAGTAGCCAATACCATTAAATAAGACAAGGTATAAAACAAAGTAGGAAGTAAAATTATCATTTGCAAATGATATGATAGTATAACTGGAAAACCCAAAAGACTAAATTGAAAAACCATTACAATCAATAAAAGAAATCAGTATGGTGGGAGAAGTTAATAGCCTTCATATAAACAACCTCCATTTATGGAAGAAGAGCCTAGCCAAAAAAGCTAACCTATGCAGAAGGAAACCAAAAATGTACAAAATCTAAACGAAGCATATGTTAAAACATTCCTGAGGGACACAGAAGAAAGTCTGAGCAAACAGAAAGGCATATTATGTTTCTGGAGGGAAAGGCAGTATCATAAAAATGTCCTTTCTTCCTAAATTCATCTATAAATGTGATGCAACCCCAGTAACAACACGAACAGGATTTTTGTTCTTACCTAGATAAGTGGATTCTATAGTTCAACAACAGGAAATCAAATAAAATGGCCAAGGATGTTGGAGTGGGGGGATAAGGAGGAGCCACAGGCTCCACCAGATATTAACATGCATTATACACATGCTACAATGTGGATGAACTTAAAACATGCTAAGTGAAAGAAGCCAGTCACAAAAGACCACACACTATGAGTCCGTTCTCATGTAAGTTCACAGTAGAGAAATCTGTAGAGAAAGGAGGCACGGGTGGGGGAGAAGGAGGTGACTGTCAATGAGTATTGGGTTTCTTCTTGAGGTGATAAAAATGTTCTAAAATTGATGTGATGGCAGCACAATTCTGTGAATATACTAAAAACCACTGAATTGTACACTTCGAATGGGTGAATGGTATATGAATTGTATCTCAGTAAAGCTGCTAAAATTTATGTAACACTTCAATAATTAAAACAGTATTGCACTGATATTTGAATACACTTGGATCCATACCTCATACTTTACACCAGATAAATTACAAAACAATCAGAGATCATACATTTTTGAAAATACTGTAAAAGAACTAGAAGAAACCTGGGGGACCTTTTTTCTCTTTTTTTAAATCTCATCCTGAGGAAGGACTTTCTAAGTATGACATAAAATCCAAAGGCCATAAAAGGAAATACTGACAAATGTCACTTCCCAAAGAAAATTCCTCCATGACAGTATCAAAGACAAATGACAAACTGGGGGAAACACCTGTTACTTGTGTGACTGACAAATATCCAATTCCATCATATACAAGTAGTTCCTACAAATCAGCAAGGACAAAAACAACAATCCAGTCGCAAAAATGGGTGACCAAGGAGATGAGCAGATTATTCAAAGTAAAAACAAATGGCTCAGACACAAAAAGATGTTCAACCTCGTTCATATTAAACTAAATTAAAACTACATTGTAATCTTGTTTTCACTGATCAAGTAAGAAAAGCCTAAAAATCTGATACCATGCTGTGGTCGTGAGCGGGTGGGGAAATAGGGTGTTGTGGGGTGTCCACAGGGACAATGTCTAACAATGTCAAGACCACATGTATCAAAATTACAAATCCACATCCCTTTGACCCAGTATTCCCACGCCCAGAAACTTTCCCTGTAGTTTTATCCACAGTATTGTGACACATTCAGGGTTTCTACTGCTGCAGTGCTTGCAACAGCAACGGGTTAGGCACAGTCTAAATAGGGTACTGGCCAAATAAATTATGTTTCATCCTTGTTATGGAGAGCTATGTGGAGGAAGGATGAGGGAGCTCTTTAGAAGCTGACATACAGGATATATTGCAAAGTGGAAAAGTGAGGTGCAGGACTGTGTAAAATATGCGTGTTCACACTTATTTGCTGGGTTGTACATAAAACATTTGGAAGGACACACAGGAAGCTGACAACAGTGGCTGCCTCTGGAGGGGGTGTGAGTGGCTTTTCTCTATATACTCCTTTGTTCCTTTTGAATATGGGACCACATGAGTGTGTTACTTTGTCTGTAGACAAAAATTTAAAAGAAAAGAAAAATGGCAACTGATCCTGGGCTGCAGGACAGAAGCAATAGGGAGGGCTGGGGACTGTGGTGAACTGGAGATGGATGTTCCCTGTAAAGAGGCAGCAGTTCAGCTCCAGGCAGTAACTACAGTATAGGAACACTGGCGATGCTCTGATATTTTTTGAGAGATACTAGAAATCCAGATTTTAATGCAGATCTCCCCATTTTTAAGTGTTTCCAAGTATTTCGATTTGTTAGAAACATTTTGTGGTGGCTAAAAATAGATCAGAGGGTTTGGGATTCTGGTCCCAGATGGTCAAAGAGGACAGACCCTTGGAGGTCACCAAGTCCAGCTCTCTAATTTGACGCATTTAAAAAGCAACGCCAGGGGCCGGCCCGTGGCTCACTCGGGAGAGTGCGGTGCTGATAACACCAAGGCCACGGGTTTGGATCCCATATAGGGATGGCCGGTTTGCTCACTGGGTGAGCATGGTGCTGACAACACCAAGTCAAGGGTTGAGATCCCCTTACCGGTCATCTTTTTAAAAAATAAATAAATAAATAAAAATAAAAATAAAAAGCAACGCCAGAGAGGGAAGGATATGCTCAAGATCACACAGGGAACAAGGCCTTGGGCTGGGACCCTGTTCAGGGCTGTTTTTGCTTCTGCGTCATCCTACTTTCTGCTAATGCGGGAAGATGACGGTGAGCTAGGCCTGTAGTTGGGTCGCAGAGGAGGGGTTGGGGCCATGTGCTGGGGGTGGTCAGAGAAGGCTGCTGGGGAGGAGGTCATGCCTGAGTGGGGAGTCATGCCCAGTGCAAGTCAGCCAGACAAAGGTGGGTGGGTGGGGGAGGGAGTCCAGGGAGGCAGCAAAGGCCTAGAGGCCTAAGAGAACACAGACTTTAGACAGGGTCATGGGGGGTGACTGGCATTCCTTGCCCGGGACCTGCCCTGTAGAGGCCTGAGGCGGGAGTACGCTTGGTGTGTCCAGGAACAGAAAGCAAGCCCCAGTGGCCTCAGAGTGGGTGGAGGAAGAGGAGAGGGGGCAGGAGGCTGGGGGATATCCCACTCACACTTGCGCAGCTCCAGGCTCTTGCTCGGGCAGGTCAGATGTTGGCCTGGCGGGTTCTGGGTCCTCTGCAGACAGGCCAGCATGGCTGGATTGGGGGCCCCCAGTGGGGTGTGCTCTGCAGCAGGATCCCTGTGAGGAGGGAATGAGGTGCTTGTCACTTGGGGGCTGCTCCATGCCCAGTTCCTACCACCCCCTGCTGGGAGTCCCTGCCAACAGGCCCCTCACAGCCCCACAGATCATGGGACACTTTCAAAGCAGATGCCCCTTTCCCTTATTGGACAGATGAGACTGTGGCCCCGAGGCATCAAGAGACTCATCTGCAGCATCAAGAGGCGGCATCAAGAGGCTCATCCGTGGCCTCACAGGAAGGCAAAGAATCCAGGTCAGTGAAGTGGTGGGCCTCCACCATGACAGGGTCAGAACTGACCAGTCAGATCTGCCCTGGCCCTGCTCAGCATGCAGGTCCCCTTCTCCAGGGGGCTGCCCTGATGTGCCCAGGCCAGGTCAGATCCTCACCCCCTCCATATCCCACAGCAGGCTGTCCTTCCAGCTGGACCCCCAGCTCTCCTGTCACCCCCTGGGAGCAGATCAGCTTTGAGCTCATCAAGAGGGGAAGACCCCAGCTGGTCATCTTTGGGGTCTACGCAGAGGGGTACCCAGGAAATGCCAGCAGGCACATGGGTGTCCTTATTTACTGAAATATTGGTCTGCCCCCTGCTTGGCATGTTCTCACAGTACCACTGGAGGAGAGAGAATCAGGATGGCATCCCCAGGAGAATGAGGGGTGCTCCAGTCCTGACCCATGCTGAGCCTGAGCCTGGTCCACATAGGCCATCAAGGCTGCCCTGATCTGGCATCTCTGTCGCTGCCCGACCAAGCTCCTCTCCCCAAATGGGAACGGCAGGGCCACTCACCACAGTTCTGCCCTACTGGGAAGGGGTCTGTCCCCCTTAGGTGGCAGCTCCGATGTGGCTCTACACGGGTCCACATTGTACTCACTCACCCAGAGTCAGATACCTGGCATTCCCATGGAAACTTGAAATTATCTTCACAAACCCCACTTTCCTGCCAAGAACACTTCGGGAGGCTGAGGCACATTCCCGAGAGCCCAGAGCCCCTGAGCAGTGAGGTCAGGACAAGCCTGCCGTGGAGGCCACTGTCGGTGGGGGGGGAGTGTCCCTGTCTGGTCCGTTGCTCCCTCTCCTCCTGCTAAGGACAAGGCGGGCCCAGGTGTGAGCCCAACCCTGAACACCACCGATGTCGACCCCCTCCTGACCCCCCCACATCCTTCGCAGCCGAGCTGGGGCACCTCAGTCCCCATGTTGGTTTGAAAAAAGACGGAAGAGGGGGTGTGTGCTTAAGGGGAAGAAAGGGAAGTTATTTAATACTAAACAGGTGTCTGGAGCCCTAAATTCTGCCGCTTTCTTCTAATAATGAAGTATTCATGAGGAAAAGCCTTTTTTCACTACTTTCTTAAGATACTAATTTCACAACAAGCTCCTTGTTATGGCGCAATTATTCCAATCTTGTATTTCCCGAGCCGGCTGCAGCCTCCCGTCTGTCCTGGCCTCGCGGTAAATGAAAGACAATCACGTAACCACCTTTCATTATGCTCTATTTTACTTTCAGCAGAGGTGCCCTGAAAGAAATGATTTCCTCTGAAAGGGACTTTTATTCAGTTTCAAAACCAATTTTCTCCTATTACTGTCTCAAAAAAAAAAAAAAGAGAGAGAGAGAAAGTTGGGGGATGGACGTGGGGGAGGGGAGGTGATTCTCCTCCTCCCCACCCCCCCCAATCGCCAGCCTTAACTCAGCGACGCGATGGAAGCTGCGGTATCCACTTCCCGGCTTTGATTTCTGGTAATTTTAAAATAGGCCATTACAATCAGGCAGAAATTATACAGTTTAAAAAGGGAATGAAATGGGGCTTATTGCAGGGATGAAAGTCCTTGACTGCAGGAAAGCAGCGCCACTCCTTGGGGACTTGGGACGTGAGCAGGTGGCAGGAGCAGGCCTGGCTCAGGCCTGCCACCACCACTTCCTTGGACCAGCCCTTGCACACACACACACACACACACACACACACACACCGGTACATGCTCACATACATACATACCACACACGTTGTGGGATACGCTCCTCCACAACTACTGGAACTCTCTAGCACCCTCTCATGCACACGCAGGCAGTCCATGGGGACACACAATCATGTGCACATCTGGAAGAAGCCTGTGGCAACGCCCTCCCCCAGCCCAGGTCCCACCCCCAACCCCCGCTCCAGGGGAGGTATACTGTCTATATACCTCTTGCCACTGTGACACAGGAGTAGGGAGACAGAGGTGAGAGCCCGAGAAAGCCACCTCAAACCTCCTCCCTCCACAGGTGGGGAACACAAGCCAGAGGGAGGCAACACCTTGTCCAGAGCCACCCTGCCCAGGGCCACACAGCAGGCAGCGGCTGGGTGTGCCTGTCCCCTCACCACTGAGCCCTGCTGCTGCCCATAGACAAGATAGGAGGGAGGTCAGAGACCTGGTGTGCCAAGAAAGCCTGAGCTGGAAGCCCAGAACCTCCCCTATTCCCAGCACTTACTGTGTGGCCCCACGTGGGCTCCTGACCCTCCCTGGCCTGTAAAAGTGGCTCCATGACCCCACGGTTCCTCCCAAGTGGGAGGGACCATCTCCAGTCCCCATATCAGCCCCATCATCTACAAACATACAAAGTCAGATCCCTCTCCTTGGCCTTAAACTTCTCTCTGGCCTCAGAATGAGCCCAACCTCTTTGCCTGGCCTTACGCCTCCAAACCTTTGCCTGTGCTGGCCCTTCTGCCTACAACACCGCCACCTCATCCATTTCACTTTAGATCTCTTTTCAGACTCTGCCTGTCCCATCTTCTGGGTGTCCCACACAGCCCTAATCACACCAAGTTGTAATTGCCAATTTTTTTTTCTTTTTTTTTTTTTTTTTCGTCTTTTTTCGTGTCCGGCAACGGATCGCAACCCTCAGTGTCGCGCCCGTACCGGACCGGGACCGGCAACGGGATCGCAACCCTCGGTGTCACGCCCGCACCTCGCTCAGCCGGTGAGTGGGAACCGGTCTGTATGTGGGATCCGAACCCTCGGCGGGAGCGCCACCGCGCTCCCAAGCGGCGCACTGTAGCAGTGCGCCACCGGGCCGGCCCCTGTAATTGCCAATTTTTATGTCTGTCTCTCTCCACTGGACTGTGAGTTTCTTAGGAGTGAGGACCGTATCTCTCTGCCCCACTGACTGGCAAAAAGTAACCATTTAATAAATAGGTATTGAATGAATGGCTGAATCAATGAATTGGTTATTGCCAGATGAGGTCACTGGGACCCAGAGCAGCCAAGCATCCTGCACAAGGTCACACAGCAAGCCAGGGAGAAGAGTGGGGTGGGCACCCAAAACACTCATGATCTTCCCGTGAACCTACCCTGCTGCCTCCCTGCCTGGCATTGTCCCATCTGAAGAAAGCCAGCCCCTCAGAGCCCCCACCTAGACTCATTACTCCCCCGGGCAGGGACTCTATCTGCAAATCAGACTGTTTATAAGCTCAAGGTCTTTTGTTACTTTAATAATAAAAAGGGGGGGGGCGGGGAGGGGGAAAAATGTCACAAGCCTCAATGATTAGAATGCTTTGGCATCGTCCCTGACATGGGGGCTGATAAGATGCCTTATCTTGGAGACACCCAAGGAAAAGGTCCCCTCCACCAGATAACGCCCCCAGCTGTCGATATGCCCTTTCATAGCTGAGGATTTAGATAAAGGAAATGTGACAGGGGAGGGGAAAGAAAGGAAGGAACTCTCCAAGTCCAAGGAGAAATTGAGTCTGTGCTGCCCGCCTTGGCAGAACAATAAACAGGAGAAGGATATCTAAAGGCCGTCTTTATTTTTATTAGAAGAAGGGGATATTGGGGCCTTTGGCCCTACCTGCTTTTATCATCTCTCCCTTGCCTGTCTGGCTGCAGGGGGAGCCCCCAGGCTAGTGGGAGAGGTGAGCTCCAGAAACAGCATAGGCACATTAGTACTAAGGACATTATTGCGAGGAGCACTGATTGGATGTACCTCTGTGCCAAGCCCCACATGCATCCTGGCCTTGATACCTCACTACATCCTCCTAGTGGCTTCTACGATGGGCTCTGTTTTTAGCCTCACTTCACAGGTAAGGAAATGGGCACAGAGAGGGGAAGCAATATATACAAGGTCACACAGCTTTCAGGTGATAGAGCCCCAGGGTGTCGACCCAGTCAGACCCCGAACCCTCCTAAGCCCCACACAGTGCAGCAGCTCCATCATGGTGGGGTGTCCTGTTATCCCCCAGTTCCCAGTCAGTCAGGCAGGGAGGAAGAGAAGCCAGGGTCTGCTCCTCCTCAGTGCCCAAATCCACTTTGATTCTACCCCAGGAGGGGCTGGGATCACAGAGGAGGAGGAGACGGGGGCGGGGGGAAAGGGTTCTCAGGAGGCCACTAGTTCATCCCAGAAACTTTCAGGAAAGACATGTGAGCCTGCAGAACAATACTGAGAAGAATAAAGCCCAGGCCCTGCCTCTTACACACCCACCCATTCATTCACTCACTCACTCATTCACTGGGGCAGCAAACACTTCCCCAGCATCTTCTAGGGGCCAGCCCTGTGCCATATATGGGGAGTATAAAAATCAGTAAGAATGTCCTGCCAAAAAGGAACATCCAGCCAGAACTGCCTTCCTACTCCCCAATCCAGCCCAAGTTAAAAATGGGCTTTCCTGTTCTCTCCCTCCTGCTTCCAACATTTCCCTGGAGTGGCAGGTGGGTGGAATATTCCCTCATGCACCTGCAGGCCAGCAGGCTGGGCTGGCCCTGGAGTAGGGCGGAAAGCAAGGACATACTTGGGCCCCACAACAGGGCAAGACTGTGACCTCATGAAGGCCACAGGCTGTGCCACTTTCAGTCCTCATCCTCCCCCAAGCCCTGTCTCTGGAGCTGCCTACTCTGGCTTCTGTGGCTCCACTCAAGGCCAAAGACTCAAGGCTGTAGCAGGCAGGAGAAGGTCATACCAGGCCTTTCCTGGCATCCAGTAGGACTAGGAGTTCAGAGAGGAGAGCGGGCCTGAAGGCCTCAGGGTGGCACTGGCCA